GAACTAACCGCGGAGAAGCCTCATTCTCCACTGATTGTTGAGGGAACCGAAGGTGAGGTAGCCAAGCTTGGCCTTTTTGTGTATCATCTTAGAAGTATATGTGCATGATTAATATTTGATCATGCCTGGAACATGCGAACATGATCACAACATTTATGTCACAATTGTATGCATTTAATAAGCATCTCATTTGAATTATTAGTTAATGTACAGATCCCCCAAAGTATTTTTATGTTATAAACCCCATAATTTATCTAAGTACAAGCTGCAAGTTCGTAAATACAGCATTAAGAAGGTAGCTATTGCGTAGCTGGTTTAAGAAAATATCCTTTGTGAGTAAGATATATAGGGTTATTTGGAGAGGATTTAGCTACTGGGAGGTCTTCTCCAAGTAAGTTATATGCTTCTTAGCTGCAGCAGACAGGGAATATAATTTCTTAGTTTGCCCTTCTTGTCAGTAGAAATCAGTCTGACCTGACTGTGCTGTCTGATTCGAGTGTCTCCTCAGCCCATTGGTCACTAGAGGCAGATTTATAAAACATCTATACAGGAATGACGCTGGAAGTGACATTTTGATTGAACGAAGAGCTGGATTAACAACTGGTATGCCAGTACACTTACTAAAGAGGAGACAGTGAAAATATATGGCCTGAGAAGACTTGTAAGCGATCTTTTGCTTCGCTCGGTGCACGGTGAGTGGGAGACGCGATTGCCTGGCAGTGCCTTTGCCTGCTGGGCAAGGCGGGCAGCGACATGGGGCCATTGCTGATGTACCAAAGTGCAGGCCAGTACGGCACTGGGAAAGCCAGAATAATGCAGCAAGGCTGCAGTGTCTGCAGCCAGGTAATGCTGAGGGGGGGAGCGGTTGTGCACAGAAGCCTTTTCCATTTACTGTATCTTCTTTTATGACCAGGGTCAGGCACAACAGTCTGTCGAGGTAATGCTCTGTGAGAGCTGCTTTATGTACATATGTAAGTGGAAGATTGTGTGTTGCATCTTTGTGTGCGTACGTACACCTGAAAACTGCAGAAAATGTCTGTAAACTGAGAAAGGCAGGAATAACCGTGCCCTTATCAAGAGCACTTGCTGACTGTTTATCTATTGCTGACTGACTCTGCAGATTAAATTTGCAAGAACAGCAGTAAGGAGTATGATGGGAGGGAACTTAACCTCAAAGAAACTCAGCAGCCGACCCTTTGGATGGCTGAATTACATCTGAATCAAGCTCTTGATTAAATCTTAGCAACGTCAAAAGCTCAAAGCAGCAATTGTAAGTGATGTCGCTTCCCCCCCCCCCATATTGCTAAATTATCTATTGCAACATGGAGCGCATTCATGTCACTACATTAAATTTGTACGTGAAGAAGAGGGGAGATTAGGCAATAATGCCACAGGACAAACAGTATGTAGCCAGGCATATCTTCTTGGCTTCGTTCACTGTTGTTGGGGTTTTTAAAAAAGTGTTTCCAAATCTGAGTAAAACTGACTCCAGATGTGCTCATTTGAAGGCTATAAAAGTCACGCTAGCACCAAGACTATCTGAATTCTGTGCTGTACCTGAATAGATAACTAGTCCCATCTTAAAAACAGAAGTGCTATAAACAATAAAAAGGCCACAGGCAAAGGTTTTAGCGCTTCATTCCCATTAGCATCCTTTTTTCCCAAGTATTTTAGACTAACATAGTTAGAGAATTCCTCCGACGCTCCAGCACACTGAATCAGAGGTGCCTGATACGACGTGGGTCGCTTGTCTGGGCTGTCGGGACTGGATCCGTCCGTGGGCCTTTCACCAATGTACAGCAGGCTGCGGTCTTTCGCGTCTTGCTCCGTTTTGAAAAGTTCGTACTCCGTGTGGGGCAGCTTGATGCCCAGAGCCAAACATCCATTTGTGGGTGTTATATCCTGCTCCACCCCAGCACTCCAGGAGCCTGTCAGCCCACAGCTTCCAGGTTCTGAGGAGTTCAGCATCATCACCGTCACCTGGTCCATTGGCGTCACCCGAGCCTGCGTGACTTTAAAAGCCAGCTCTGTCCCACCTCTCACTTTGGAGGAGGGGATGCCTTGGGTGTAATGCCCAGATGCGTAGATGGTGAAAGTCGGCTGTTTGCAGAGTGGGTCGGAGTAGTGATAGTAGTAACCTTCCCAGGTGTGGTTGCTACCGTGGAATATGAAGTACCTGGTAAGGAAAAGCACTGCAGGTCGGACCTCGCAGCGGGTGCTCACCCAGCTGCCGCTGAGCTGCATTGGCAGCTGAGCTCTGACGGGTAGTATGGGTGGGTGGTGTTCATCAGCTCTGTATATAATCCCACAGGCCGGGCAAGGATGCACGTGGTGCTGCAGAAGACAAAAAATAACATTTTTGTAAACTGATAGGCAAAAAACCCTTTCAGAATATTTTAAAAGCTGAAACTCCCCTCTCCTGCACCGGGGTATTCAACTGCAATGAGCCTGGCCCAAGACATTCAAGCAGATTAAGTGAGATAAAGCGCTGCCCTGGCTCTTTGCTGTTCTGGTATGCCAGGAAGGATGAAGAGGTCTCTGCCCTGAGGCTGCTGTCTGCCCTGCGCCAGGGCCGCTAAGGATAGCCTGCGGGGAGGACGACAGGGCAAGGGCAGAGCTGCTGTAAGGGCAGGGAACGCTCCCTCGGGCCATCCAGATTGTTCCCCCACAAGTTTTCCACTGCAAGCTGCTGCGCGTACCCATGGGTGAGGGTGCTGGGAGATGACAGCTACATCACCGTGCTTCTGCACTGATCCAGAAAAAACGATGCAGTCTTTTCGGCAACCAAAAAGGCTGTGAAACCTTTACCGCGGGGAGGCTCCTGGGGCTGTGCTACACCACACTGATGGCAGCCTCTCCAGGACAGCCAAAAGCACAGCGCGTTCTGCTTCCCCCTCGCCCCCTTCCTACCGCGGCCGTACAGAGCCCCTGCGCAGGCTCCCGCATCGGCGGCTGCGTTTGCAGGTCGCCGTCCGGGCGGCAGGTGAGGCGGCTCGGGAGGGAGGCAGGGGCTTTGCAAAGCAGCCAGAACGGGCATCGCACCGGAGACAGAGAAGAAAAAGACCTACTGCAAAACAAGGACCCGACCTTTGCTTCTCTGCCTGGGCTTCGTGCAGAGCTCTGAGTCAAACCAGTCCTGCAGCTGATCCAACGCCAGGAGGTTTTTTTGTGCAGCTTGCAGCCTTTTCTTATACTTCATATATCACAACTGATTTATTTTTAAATAAGCAGGGTTTGAACATTGTATCATTTTCTAGAACACAAGCTAATCTTCACTGAACTGTCGTACGCAACAAGGTTAAATAACTCGGTAGTTAACTGTAGGGTGGGTAATTTACATGCAAGTTGATTGGAGTCTACTGTAATTTAGTCATTTTCAGCTTGCTTTACTGCTACTGTCACATTAATGAGTGCTGACAGTACACAGTACATTATGGCTAAATAATCCCAGAAGTTGGCAAATATATATGCTCTCCTTAGACAGGAAATTCTTTGATAATGAAAGGTAATTTGGGGAGAATGGGTTTCTTTAAAACAGATATAAATTTAAGGGGAAAAGAGTGATATTTTCACAAAGAGGGTTAAAAAATAATTCCTAACATAGCTGTGTAACCCTCACTAGCACAAGCAAATGGATGTTAGTTCAGGAAAAGAAAAGAAAGAAAAATCCTGTGCCCAATAAAATTATCACTACAGACATGGAGCCAAAAATCTTACTTGCTTAAACCAGTCGTGTGAAGTTATTTCTAATGTATGGCAGCTTCTAATTAGCGCCAAGTGGTGACATCATGTGCTGGTCCATTGGAGAGCTGTTAGCTGATTAATTACAGTGCTATATTCCGAGAGTGAATTTCAGTATCTTTAGGTTTGGTTTTAAATTAACTTTTAAAAGTGTTTATGTTTACCATCTGGTTTTGCTCATATATATGGTTTTGGCCCAAGATAACACAAGTTTAACCAATTTGAGAATGTTACTTTCGAGGGGGAGAGGGGTGTTGCTCTGTGTTTTTCAGAGTTCAGTTGGTCTAGTTTGGGGTGTGGGGAAATGTTGCCCCCAAAATAATTTTTTTTTCAGTTAATTCAATTCTTCTGGTAAAGGTCAGGGAGGTTTTTTCACCCCATCTCACTGCTCAATCATTTCTGAATTGATTAGCTATGATTCAGATAGAAATGTG